AATAAATTACTTGCAAGATGTTGCGTTCTCTGATATATAGGCTTTTTACACTATAAATTACCGGTAAGATATGGTGTTTTTGGAAAATTAGGGTATTTAGTGAATAAATTACAGATAAGATGTTGCGTTCTTAGATATATAGGCTTTTTACACTATAACTTACCGGCAAGATATGGTGTTTTTGGAAAATTAGGCTTTTTACTCAATAAATTATGGGTAAGATGTTGCGTTATGCGTTTTACACTATAAGTTACCTATAAGATATGGTGTTTTTAGAAAAATTGGCTATTTAGTCAAAAAATTACGGGTAAGATGTTGCCTTCTCAGATATATAGGCACTTTACATTACAACTTACCGATAAGACATGGTGTTTTCCGAAAAATATGCAATTCACGTAATAAATTACGGGTAAGATGTTGCGTTCTCAGATATATAGGCTTTTTACACTATAACTTACCGGTACGATATGGTGTTTATAGAAAAATAATCTATTTACTTAATAAATTACGGGTAAGATGTTGCGTTCTTAGATATATAAGCACTTTACACTATAACTTACCGGTAAGATATGGTGTTTTTAGAAAAATAGACAATTCACTAAATAAATTACAGGTATAATGTTTCGTTCTCAGATATATAGGCCTTTTACACTATAACTTACAGTTAAGATATGGTGTTTTTGGAAAATTAGGCTATGTACTTAATAAGTTATGGGTAAGATGTAGCGTTCTTCGATATATTGGCTTTTTACACTGTAACATACCGGCAAGATATGGTGTTTATGGAAAATTAAGCTATTTACTTAATAAATTAAGGGTAAGATGTTGCGTTCTCAGATTTATTGGCTTTTTACACTATAACTTACCGGTAAGATATGGTGTTTTTGGGAAATTAGGCTATTTACTTAATAAATTACTTGTAAGATGTTGCGTTCTCTGATATATAGGCTTTTTACACTATAACTTACCGGCAAGATATGATGTTTTTGGAAAATTAGGCTATTCACTTAATAAATTATGGGTCAGATGTTGCGTTCTCAGATTTATAGGCTTTTTACACTAAAACTTACGGTAAGATATGGTGTTTTTTGAAAATTAGGCTATTTACTTAATAACTTACTTGTAAGATGTTGCGTTCTTTGAGATATAGGCTTTTTACACTATAACTTCCCGGTAAAATATGGTGTTTTTTGAAAATTAGGCTATTATTTAATAAATTATGTGTAAGATGTTGCGTTCTAAGATATATAGGCTTTTTACACTATAACTTACCGGTAAGATATGATGTTTTTTGAAAATTAGGCAATTTACTTAAAAAATTACGGGTAAGATGTTGCGTTCTTAGATATACAGTCTTTTTACCCTATAACTTACCGGCAAGATATGGTGTTTTTGGAAAATTAGGCTATTTACTTAATAAATTAAGGGTAAGATGTTGCGTTCTCAGATTTGTAGGCTTTTTACACTATAACTTACCAGTAAGATATGGTGTTTTTGGATACTTAGGCTATTTACTTAATAAATTACTTGCAAGATGTTGCGTTCTCTGATATATAGGCTTTTTACACTATAAATTACCGGTAAGATATGGTGTTTTTGGAAAATTAGGGTATTTAGTGAATAAATTACAGATAAGATGTTGCGTTCTTAGATATATAGGCTTTTTACACTATAACTTACCGGCAAGATATGGTGTTTTTGGAAAATTAGGCTTTTTACTCAATAAATTATGGGTAAGATGTTGCGTTATGCGTTTTACACTATAAGTTACCTATAAGATATGGTGTTTTTAGAAAAATTGGCTATTTAGTCAAAAAATTACGGGTAAGATGTTGCCTTCTCAGATATATAGGCACTTTACATTACAACTTACCGATAAGACATGGTGTTTTCCGAAAAATATGCAATTCACGTAATAAATTACGGGTAAGATGTTGCGTTCTCAGATATATAGGCTTTTTACACTATAACTTACCGGTACGATATGGTGTTTATAGAAAAATAATCTATTTACTTAATAAATTACGGGTAAGATGTTGCGTTCTTAGATATATAAGCACTTTACACTATAACTTACCGGTAAGATATGGTGTTTTTAGAAAAATAGACAATTCACTAAATAAATTACAGGTATAATGTTTCGTTCTCAGATATATAGGCCTTTTACACTATAACTTACAGTTAAGATATGGTGTTTTTGGAAAATTAGGCTATGTACTTAATAAGTTATGGGTAAGATGTAGCGTTCTTCGATATATTGTCTTTTTACACTGTAACATACCGGCAAGATATGGTGTTTATGGAAAATTAAGCTATTTATTTAATAAATTAAGGGTAAGATGTTGCGTTCTCAGATTTATTGGCTTTTTACACTATAACTTACCGGCAAGATATGATGGTTTTGGAAAATTAGGCTATTCACTTAATAAATTAAGGGTAAGATGTTGCGTTCTCAGATTTATTGGCTTTTTACACTATAACTTATCGGTAAGATATGGTGTTTTTGGGAAATTAGGCTATTTACTTAATAAATTACTTGTAAGATGTTGCGTTCTCTGATATATATGCTTTTTACACTATAACTTATGGGTAAGATATTGTGTTTTTGAAAAATTAGGATATTTACTTAATAAATTACGGGTAAGATGTTACGTTCTCAGATATATAAGCTTTTTACACTATAAATTACTGGTAAAATATGATGTTTTTAGAAAATAAGCTATTTACTCAATAAACTACGTTTAAGATGTTGCGTTCTCAGATATATAGACACTTTACAGTATAACTTAGAGGTAAGATATGGTGTTTTTGAAAAATTAGGCTATTTACTTAATAAATTACGGGTAAGATGTTGCGTTCTCAGATATATTGGCTTTTTAGACTATTACTTACCGGTAAGATATGATGTTTTTAGAAAAATAAGCTATTTACTCAATAAACTACGTTTAAGATGTTGCGTTCTCAGATATATAGACACTTTACACTATAACTTAGAGGTAAGATATGGTGTTTTTGAAAAATGAGGCTATTTACTTAATAAATTACGGGTAAGATGTTGCGTTCTTAGATATATATATATATATGCTTTTTACACTATTACTTACCGGTAAGATATGATGTTTTTAGAAAAATAAGCTATTTACTCAATAAATTACGTTTAAGATGTTGCCTTCTCAGATATATTGGCACTTTACATTATAACTTACCGATAAGAGATGGTTTTTCAGAAAAATATGCAATTCACGTAATAAATTACGTGTAAGATGTTGCGTTCTCAAATATATTGGCTTTTTATACTATAACTTACCGGTACGATATGGTGTTTATAGAAAAATAAGCTATTTACTTAATAAATTATGGGTAAGATGTTGTGTTCTTAGATCTATAGACACTTTACACTATAACTTACCAGTAAGATATGATGTTTTTAGAAAAATAGGCAATTCACTAAATAAATTACGGGTATAATGTTGCGTTCTCAGATATATAGGCCGTTTACACTATAACTTACAGTTAAGATATGATGTTTTTGGAAAATTAGGCTATTTACTTAATAAATTACGGGTAAGATGTTGCATTCTCAGATATATAGGCTTTTTACACTATAACTTTTCGGTAAGATATGACGTTCTCAGAAAAATATGCAATTCACTCAATAAATTACGGGTAAGATGTTGTGTTCTCAGATATATAGAAACATTACACTGTAACTTATTGGTAAAAGATAGTGTTTTTAGAAAAATAGTCTATTTACTCAATAAATTACGAATAAGATATTGCGTTCTCAGTTTTGTAGACACTTTACACTATAACTTACCGATAAGATATGGTGTTCTTAGAAAAATATGCAATTTGTTGATGTTCTTTTTGGGAGGTCAACTTATATAGAGGTGGAATGGTGGATGATGGGTGAAGGTGAGAACCTTCAGCATGTGTGTGAAGATTTGGGCAAGTGATAAATATAAAGAAGACAAGATATACGTGGTTCACCCTTAATGAATGGGCTACGTCCACAGAGAAGCCCATGATTAAAGATAAAGCCCAGCCCAGGGATCAAGAAGAGAGTCCAAGGCCCAAGGGTCAAGATTCAAGACCCTTTTCTAAGTAGAGAGTGGTCTTCTTTTATAGGTGAGGGAGAGTCTTCACTTCTTGTAGTTTTTCGATGTGGGACTCCTCTTGCTTTGCTTAGAGTTGTGACTTGTGGGTAATGCTTCTTTGGCTAAGGTGATGACCTCTCAAAGAATGGCACGTGGATGATCTAGCCAAGCTAGTTGCTCGGTTAGTTACGGTACCAACAGTAGTCCCCCAAGTTCGCGAGTAAGAAGGTACTTCTTGGTTGGGGACTTGTAATTTTAAGTGCACTGGCCGAGCAACGCCATAGTTCATCTTCCAAGCTATATAGTGCACTGCCCATAGTCCCTCAAGTCCCTGGGTAAGAAGGACATTTGGAAGGGAGAGAACTTGGCACGAGGGTGCCGAAGATGAAGGGGTTGCCGAAGGCATAAAGTTGCATGTCACAGGATGAAGTGGCTGGGCATGAGGGTGTCTAAGGCATAAGAATTGCATGTCACAAGACGATGGGCCTAGGCACGAGGGTGCCAGAGGTAAATGACTTGCATGTTGCAAGACAATGTAGCTAGGCACAGGGATGCCAAAGGCAAAGGGGATGTCAAAGGCACAAAGCTTGCATGTCGCAAGGCGATGTGCCTAGGCACGAGGGTGCCGAAGGCGACACAAACCTTGCATGTTTGTAAGGCGATGTGCTTGGGCACGGGGGTGCCGAAGGTGACACAAGGTGTGGCTAGGCACGGGGGTACCGAAGGCGACGCAAAGCTTGGATGTCACAAGGCGATGTAGCCAGGCACGAGGGTGCCGAAGGCACAAAGCTTGCATGTCGCAAGGCGATGTGGCCAAGCACGGGGGTGTCGAAGGCACAAAGCTTGCATGTCGCAAGGCGATCTGGCTAGGCACGGGGGTGCCAAAGGCGACACAAGGCTTGCATGTCGCAAGACGATGTGGCTAGGCACGGGGGTGCCGATGGCGACACAAAGCTTGCATGTTGCAAGGTGATGTGGCTAGGTACGAAGATGCCGAAGGCGACACAAAGCTTGCATATCGCAAGGAAAATTGCAAATGTGCCTTTTTTTTTCTTTTTTTTTCCTTTTTGGTAGCTTGGGTAGCTTGGGTGTTTGGTGAGGCTTGTGGCCCTTTTACACGGCCCTTGTCGTTCGGCAAGGAGGTCAGGCTGTTTTGGAATTTTGTTTGCCCATGCTTCTGCAAGTAGGGATTTATGGGGCCGAGCCCTTGTGTTTTGGCATGAGTCTTTTGCTAGGCTTGGCTTAGACTACGTATGAAGCTTTCAGCATGTTGTGTTGCGCTGGCCATTACCTTCTTCCACATCGCAAGGTTTGTGCATGGTCAAGCCTTGCGCTTTTCTCCGCTTTGGTAAGTTAGAAGGGAGTTGGGTTGCGTGGCATTGAGGAGCTAGGCTGGGAATCAAGTGCTACCGTTCGAAAGGAGGTTACAGCCTGCTAGAGCACACCCTCGACTTCGGTGATTTGGATATGGTTTCGTGTTGTCACTGCTTCGGCAGCATAGGCCAAGTCTCACGGTGGTCCGAGGATCTTCGAGTATTGGGCACCGAGTCTGCAGCATTGCCCTTGCCGAACGGCAAGGGTGGCTTGGGAGCCTTTTTGGAGGCATTCTTTGCTCCTTTGATCTAGGTCCTTGGTCTATCAGCAAGAGTGAAGGTCGCGAAGCCCAACGCCAGCTGCATGTTGGATTCGTCGTCTCACTGTTTCAGTGCCTAACAGCTAAAACAAGCGAGTCTTTTCGTGAGAAGATTTTTCATGGTTCCTACCGTTCAGCAAGGCTGAAGGTTGTGGGGGCATTCGGCATCGGCAAGTCTCGGCTTCGGCAGCAGAAAGTCTCGGCTCGTGTTGTCACGGCTCTAGCAAGGGGTCTTCTCCGGTTCAGCAAGGTCAAAAAATGGAGGTTTCAACCAAGTGTGGCAAGCGCTGTGTAGTTGGAAAAGAACCTGCCGAACGGCAGGGGTGATTTGGAAATTTTTGAGGCCTCTCGGAGAATTGTGAAGGCTTCGACTGTAACACCCCGACTCCAAGTAAATTTCCAATTTAAAGTATTTAATCTAATTAAATGTGAATTTACGAAATTACCCTTGGGGTAGGGTATTTCGGTCATTTTCTTAATCCGGAAAGAGAGTTTGGGGCAGTGTTTGGTATTTTTGGATTGGTCGCATTGAGGTGAGTCCGTGGACGTGTGGTGGACTCGATTTGGATTTGTAACGAAATTTCGGCATTCAATTTACCTTCGATGGAAAAATCGTAATTAACTCGAGAAGGGTTTGGGTAAAAATCAGCTTTGCTTTCAGTTTTACCTCACTCTCACTCTTTCTCTCTTTCTCTCTCCCCGAGCTCTTCTCCCTCTCTACGTAAAAACTCCAGAGTTACTGTTCACCCGAACAGAAAAATCCACGCCGCCACCACTTCCGGCCACCTCAGCCCTCAAGACCGGTCCCAAAAGCTTCGTCTCGACATCCCGGTCAAGACCCAATAGCTTTCGTCGCCGGAAAACTCAAGAACAGCCGGCAATTGCAACTGGTTCGTTTCGAGATTTTCTCATTTCGGGATTTTCCAATCTTTGCGCCATCGTCTTCGCCGCCTTTTTCCGATGTTTGAGGTGAGGTTTCTTCCTCTCTATATCTGTTCTAGCTGCCTTTGGTTAGGATTGGACCTTTTTCCCGGCGGTTTTGGGCTTGGCCGTAGTTGAATGAAGTGCTCCCCTAGTTGAGTAGGACCTGTAGCCGGGAGGGTGACTTGTGATTTGGAGATTTTCTGTCACCGGAATTTCTCTGCACAACCGCTTGCTGCCAGCGCTTGTGGTGGCGTGTGGGCAAGTGTGGTGGAGCTGCAAATTGTTCCAGTGTCATCCTTAGGTTGTCACGAGCGCGTAGGATTTCGTGGATCTCGATTCCGAGGTCGTTTGACTATCGAATGGATTATCGCATATTGTGCGTTATCCGGGTTCGATATGTTCCGACCGTTGGATCGTTTTCAAATTGAAGTATGTTACTCTAGACACCCTTAGGATCGTGTAGGATTCAACGGACCGCAAAACGGAGTCCCGTATTCTCCGAAAATGCCAACCCTAGGGTTAGGGTTTCAGTAACCGTCCAATCGTGTGATCGTGAGCGATCTAACCGCCCGTTTCAGACCAAACTTGCAGGACGTGTATCCTAGACCTTGTAAAACCTATAGGAACTCCCGGATTGAAAAACGGAGGTCATGGGTCCCGTGGGGCCCGGTTGACTCGAATTGGAAAATTTGATCGTCGGTTGACCGAGTGTCTTCCGAGGCTGTTTCATCGTGCGAATTGGGTAGTTGGACCCTAGAACACCTCTTTCCTCGTACTCACTGGAAACCTGAGAAGCTAGAGTTTTATTTTAAAGTTCTGTTTCGAAGCGCTTGATGTTAATCGCATTTTCGTATTCTGAATCAGGTACTCCGACCCCGTATACGCAGCAGGCGGGACCCTCTCAGGGTCAAACTGTGTGGGACTACTTGTGAGTGGACTTTTCTTTCAAAACTTCAACATGACTTTATTCATGGAAAATATGGCATATTGCTTTATTTTGTTTATTGAATATGGTATATATTCGAATGTGAAATTCGTGGTTTTCATAAAGTTTTGATAATATGTTTGGGTTTTGAGAATATATACACATATGGTTATGTGTGGGGTACTTGGGAGGTTAATATGAGTTTATGTAAAGGGGTGATTATTGATATGTCTGTTTGGAGTGCTTTAAGCACTATCCTATGTACCTCCTTGGATCTGAAACTTGATTACTGATACTGAATACACTTGGAATTATTTGAGTTCAGGACATCCTTGAGGGGATGTTGCTGTGGACCTTGGATTTGGGGTAGTCTGCACGCGTAGGACTGGTATTTCAGGCGTACAAGCTTTGACTGTGTCGGCTGTACGTGCTGGCTGAGAGTTAGTTCCCCAGTTGGACGGCTCGTTCCCTAGACACATGGTGAATTAAGGAATGGCTCTGCCATGTGGACTAGTCAAACAATCCCCGGTTGGATTGTTTTCCCCGGTACAACTAAATTTTGGTTATATTTATATATTATTATTATATTTTATATTACTATATATATATATATATATGAATATTCTGTCGTTCTTATTTCTCGGTAAGGATACTTCCTCACCGGTCGTACCATTGGGTACGTTTTTGAGAGTTTAATCTATCGGGACTCTTAAGTTTTGAGTGGTGGGTTTTGTGAAGTGTGATTCACGGATTTCGGATTTGGTATCCGGTATTATTTTTAGTATATGTTTATATACTGCTTATGACGGTTTTATTATGCATCTGGATTCGTTGCATGTTTTTATAAAGGTGGGGTTATATTACTTTGATTTAATTGAACTGAACTTAATTTTCGTCCACTCACAATTTTCTGTTTTGCGCCCCCAGCCAGTAGCAACTGAGCTCCACAGTCGAGCCGGACCGAGTGCTCTCGAAACTTGAGTCTTCGTAGGGACTCCTTCACCTTTTCCTTTTAGTTGAACTGTACTTCTGTTGTATTTGAATTTCTTAGATATGCTCTGTATCGCCCGCTGAGGGTATAAATCGTGAGGCCGGAGGCCTTTGTTGTAAACTGTTTTATTGCTTGTAAAGCATGCTGCTAGTTGGTTGTTTATAACTGTAATTTTGAACAGGTTAAAGTTTGGGAATGTTCATTTTACAGGGGAGACTCTGCCAAATTTTTGGTAGAAAGTCTCGGTCTTTACTAAGTGGGCCCGGCATCGGGGTGATGTCGAAATTTAGGCGGGGTCCGTCCCGGTTTCCAAGAAGATTCGGGGCGGGTCCTATCATCGGCAGCTCAGCAAGAGAGTAGTTTGGGCTTGCTTCGGCAAGGGGGTGAAGAACGCAGCCGAGCTGTGGTGGTTTTGGCAAGTGAAACACATCGGCAAAGTTTTGGGTCTCTCCACCTGCAGCAGGTATTGTCATGTGGCCCTCTACCTTCTGCACAGTCCTTGCCGTTTGACAAGGCTATTTGCCTTGTTGTTTTGTTTTGTTTTGTTTTTAGACCCTCCTTTTCTTCTGCTGGACCCTTGCCGTTCGTCAAGGGTGGTACGACATGGATTTTGCTGAATGTTGTTGTCTATATTCCCAGCAAAGCTTTGGGAGTTGGAGGCCTAGCGAAGTGACGGAACTAAGACAAGACCCGGTGATTGGGAAAGTTCTCGGTTCGGGCCATTGGAGCTAGGCCTTCGGCAGGTGCTGTCCGGTTTGTTTTGGAGGAGCTTGTTGCCGATCGGCAGGGTCCGTAAAAACATTTTGTGAACCTCCGTGTATGCTGTTGTGGTAGGTGTTGGCAGAATCGGCAAGGTTGAAGGTAGGGAGGGTGGTGCCTTTAGAGCGCTGGGTCCAGGTTTAGGTAAGGGTCTCCAGAGCCCCGTGGACTTTGTTTTCCTGTTGTTGGAGCCGTTATTTTTTTTGTCTGCCCCAAATTTTTTCCTACGGCACTTGCCGTTCGGCGAGAGTATCACTCGGATCTTGCGAGTTTTGACTTGGGCTTCACTCGAATCAAATTGGACACTCCTTGCCTTTGATATGGCCAACCCTGGCTCACGGAATAGACAGGTGTTGTTGAATCGGTTCAGTTTTTTTGATTGATGTTTTTGTAGATCTTTTGTGTCCATTAGAATCCTCAATCTCAAATTTGAATTCTCATACTTTTTCCAGTCAAATTGGACACTCCTAGCCTATGATCTAACCAACCCTAGCTCACGAAACAGACAGGTGTTGTTGAATCGGTTTAGTTTTTTTAATTCATGTTTTCATAGATCTTTTGTGTCCATTAGAATTATCAATCTCTAATTTGAATTCTCATACTTTTTCCAATCAAATTGGACACTCCTTGCCTTTGATCTAGCCAACCCTAGCTTACGTAACGGACGGGTGTGGATGAATCGGTTCAGTTTTTTTGATTCAGGTTTTTGCAGATCTTTTGTGTCCATTAGAATCCTCAATATCTAATTTGAATTCTCATACTTTTTCCAGTCAAATTGGACACTTCTAGCCTTTGATCTAACCAACCCTAGCTCACGGAACAGACAAGTGTTTTTGAATCGGTTCAGTTTTTTTAATTCATGTTTTCACAGATCTTTTGTGTCCCATAGAATCCTCAATCTCTAATTTGAATTCTCAAACTTTTTCCAATTAAATTGGACACTCCTAGCCTTTGATCTAGCCAACCCTAGCTAATTATACAGACATATATTGTTGAATCGTTTTAGTTTTTTTGGTTCTAGTTTTTGCAGATATTTTGGGCCCATTTGAATTCTAAATCTCTAATTCGAATTCTCGTATGTTTTCCAATCAAATTGGACACTCATAGCCTTTGATCGAGCCAACCCTAGCTCACGGAACAGACCGGTGTTGTTGAATTGGTTCAGTTTTTTTGATTCTTGTTTTTGCAGATCTTTTGTGTCCATTAGAATCCTTAATATTTAATTTGAATTCTCACACTTTTTGCAGTCAAATTGGACACTCCTAGCCTTTGATCTAATCAACCCTAGCTCACGGAACAGACAGGTGTTGTGGAATCGGTTCAGTTTTTTAATTTCGTGTTTTCACAGATCTTTTGTGTCCCTTAGAATCCTCAATCTCTAATTTGAATTCTCAAACTTTTTCCAATTAAATTGGACACTCCTATCCTTTGATCTAGCCAACCCCAGCTAATTATATAGACATATATTATTGAATCGTTTCATTTTTTTGGTTCTTGTTTTTGCAGATCTTTTGGGCCCATTTGAATCCTAAATCTCTAATTTGAATTCTCGTATGTTTTCCAATCAAATTGGACACTCATAACCTTTGATCTGGCCAACCCTAGCTCACGGAACTGACAGGTGTTGTTGAATTGGTTCAGTTTTTTTGATTCTTGTTTTTGCAGATCTTTTGTGTCCATTAGAATCCTCAATCTCTAATTTGAATTCTCATACTTTTTCCAGTCAAATTGGACTCTCCTAGCCTCTGATCTAATCAACCATAGCTCACGGAACAGACAAGTGTTGTTGAATCGGTTCAGTTTTTTTATTTCATGTTTTCACAGATCTTTTGTGTCCCTTAGGATCCTCAATCCCCAATTCGAATTCTCATACTTTTTCCAATCAAATTGGACACTCCTAGCATTTGATCTAGCCAACCCAAGCTAATTATACAGACAGTTATTATTGAATCGTTTCAGTTTTTTTGGTTCTTGTTTGAGGAGATATTTTAGGTCCTTTAGAATCCACAGTCTCCAATTTGAATTGTCGTACTTTTTCCAATCAAATTGGACACTCATAGGATTTGATCCAGCCAACCATAGCTCACGGAACAGACATGTGTTGTTGAATCGATTCAGTTTTTATAATTCATGTTTTCATAGATCTTTTGTGTCCATTCGAGTCATCAATCTCTAATTTGAATTATCATACTTGTTCCCATCAAATTGGACACGCCTTGGCTTTGATCTAGCCAACCCTAGCTTACGTAACGGACGGGTGTGGATGAATCGGTTCAGTTTTTTTGATTCAGGTTTTTGCAGATCTTTTGTGTCCATTAGAATCCTCAATATCTAATTTGAATTCTCATACTTTTTCCAGTCAAATTGGACTCTCCTAGCCTCTGATCTAATCAACCATAGCTCACGGAACAGACAAGTGTTGTTGAATCGGTTCAGTTTTTTTATTTCATGTTTTCACAGATCTTTTGTGTCCCTTAGGATCCTCAATCCCCAATTCGAATTCTCATACTTTTTCCAATCAAATTGGACACTCCTAGCATTTGATCTAGCCAACCCAAGCTAATTATACAGACAGTTATTATTGAATCGTTTCAGTTTTTTTGGTTCTTGTTTGAGGAGATATTTTAGGTCCTTTAGAATCCACAGTCTCTAATTTGAATTGTCGTACTTTTTCCAATCAAATTGGACACTCATAGGATTTGATCCAGCCAACCATAGCTCACGGAACAGACAGGTGTTGTTGAATCGATTCAGTTTTTATAATTCATGTTTTCATAGATCTTTTGTGTCCATTCGAGTCATCAATCTCTAATTTGAATTATCATACTTGTTCCAATCAAATTGGACACTCCTTGGCTTTGATCTAGCCAACCCTAGCTTACGTAACGGACGGGTGTGGATGAATCGGTTCAGTTTTTTTGATTCAGGTTTTTGCAGATCTTTTGTGTCCATTAGAATCCTCAATATCTAATTTGAATTCTCATACTTTTTCCAGTCAAATTGGACACTTCTAGCCTTTGATCTAACCAACCCTAGCTCACAGAACAGACAAGTGTTTTTGAATCGGTTCAGTTTTTTTAATTCATGTTTTCACAGATCTTTTGTGTCCCATAGAATCCTCAATCTCTAATTTGAATTCTCAAACTTTTTCCAATTAAATTGGACACTCCTAACCTTTGATCTAGCCAACCCTAGCTAATTATACAGACAGATATTATTGAATCGTTTCAGTTTTTTGGGTTCTAGTTTTTGCAGATATTTTGGGCCCATTTGAATTCTAAATCTCTAATTCGAATTCTCGTATGTTTTCCAATCAAATTGGACACTCATAGCCTTTGATCGAGCCAACCCTAGCTCACGGAACAGACCGGTGTTGTTGAATTGGTTCAGTTTTTTTGATTCTTGTTTTTGCAGATCTTTTGTGTCCATTAGAATCCTTAATCTTTAATTTGAATTCTCACACTTTTTCCAGTCAAATTGGACACTCCTAGCCTTTGATCTAATCAACCCTAGCTCACGGAACAGACAGGTGTTGTGGAATCGGTTCAGTTTTTTAATTTCGTGTTTTCACAGATCTTTTGTGTCCCTTAGAATCCTCAATCTCTAATTTGAATTCTCAAACTTTTTCCAATTAAAGTGGACACTCCTATCCTTTGATCTAGCCAACCCTAGCTAATTATACAGACAGATATTATTGAATCGTTTCAGTTTTTTTGGTTCTAGTTTTTGCAGATCTTTTGGGCCCATTTGAATTCTAAATCTCTAATTCGAATTCTCATATGTTTTCCAATCACATTGGACAATCATAGCCTTTGATCGAGCCAACCCTAGCTCACTGAGCAGACCGGTGTTGTTGAATTGGTTCAGTTTTTTTGATTCTTGTTTTTGCAGATCTTTTGTGTCCATTAGAATCCTCAATATCAAATTTGAATTCTCATACTTTTTCGAATCAAATTGGACACTTCTGGCGTTTGATCTAACCAACCCTAGCTTAAGGAACAGAGAAGTGTTTTTGAATCGGTTCAGTTTTTTTAATTCATGTTTTCACAGATCTTTTGTGTCCCATAGAATCCTCAATCTCTAATTTGAATTCTCAAACTTTTTCCAATTAAAGTGGACACTCCTACCCTTTGATCTAGCCAACCCTAGCTAATTATACAGACAGATATTATTGAATCGTTTCAGTTTTTTTGGTTCTAGTTTTGCAGATCTTTTGGGCCCATTTGAATTCTAAATCTCTAATTCGAATTCTCATATGTTTTCCAATCACATTGGACAATCATAGCCTTTGATCGAGCCAACCCTAGCTCACTGAGCAGACCGGTGTTGTTGAATTGGTTCAGTTTTTTTTATTCTTGTTTTTGCAGATCTTTTGTGTCCATTAGAATCATCAATCTCTAATTTGAATTCTCATACTTTTTCGAATCAAATTGGACACTCCTTGCCTGTGATATGGCCAACCCTAGCTCACGGAATATACAGGTGTTGTTGAATCGGTTCAGTTTTTTTGATTGATGTTTTTGTAGATCTTTTGTGTCCATTTGAATCCTCAATCTCAAATTTGAATTCTCATACTTTTTCCAGTCAAATTGGACACTCCTAGCCTTTGATCTAGCCAACCCTAGCTTACATAACAGACGGGTGTGGATGAATCGGTTCAGTTTTTTTGATTCAGGTTTTTGCAGATCTTTTGTGTCCATTAGAATCCTCAATATCTAATTTGAATTCTCATAATTTTTCCAGTCAAATTGGACACCTCTAGCCTTTGATCTAATCAACCCTAGCTCACGGAACAGACAAGTGTTTTTGAATCGGTTCAGTTTTTTTAATTCATGTTTTCACAGATCTTTTGTGTCCCATAGAATCCTCAATCTCTAATTTGAATTCTCAAACTTTTTCCAATTAAAGTGGACACTCCTAGCCTTTGATCTAGCCAACCCTAGCTAATTATACAGACAGATATTATTGAATCGTTTCAGTTTTTTGGTTCTAGTTTTTGCAGATCTTTTGGGCCCATTTGAATTCTAAATCTCTAATTCGAATTCTCATATGTTTTCCAATCACATTGGACAATCATAGCCTTTGATCGAGCCAACCCTAGCTCACTGAGCAGACCGGTGTTGTTGAATTGGTTCAATTTTTTTGATTCTTGTTTTTGCAGATCTTTTGTGTCCAGTAGAATCATCAATCTCTAATTTGAATTCTCATACTTTTTCGAATCAAATTGGACACTCCTTGCCTGTGATATGGCCAACCCTAGCTCACGGAATATACAGGTGTTGTTGAATCGGTTCAGTTTTTTTGATTGATGTTTTTGTAGATCTTTTGTGGCCATTAGAATCCCCAATGTCAAATTTGAATTCTCAAACTTTTTCCAGTCAAA